GCTCTGTTTTCATTTACTATATGTCAGTGGGAAAGAGGGAATTCTTAGCTTGCTATATAAGCCAATTTGTACATAGCTCTTAAAAGGCATCCTTCTATTGTTTAGCACGGAAGTGGAGAAATGTTGCTGGGAAACAAGATTAAAAGCCAAGGGAGAGATCAGCAAGGAAATTGATTAGGAGATGTTTGCTTTGTTAAAGTTGTGCATCTGAGCTGGGTCGTGACCCAGAGAGGTGCTGAACACCTACAGCTCAGAGGTCAGTAACAAGTTGCAGGTCCTCAGAACTATGCAGGGACCTACACTTAACTATGACGTGACAGATAAATTATTCCACTAGAAGATGTTCCATCACCTTGCTTCCTAGTCTGCTATGGTGCTGGAATAGGACTGTCCCCAACTTGTTTAAAATCATGTTCATTAAGGAAGGAACAAGTGCCTTTACATCACTACAGCACCTACCGCAGAAGGTGTGTCTTTCTCTCTCCCGATAATCAACCTAGGTACTTATCTGGCCCATTGAAACAACATGAGTTCTGCATTATGTGCACATAGGTGCAAGAGCATGCTGAGTTGTAAATGCACAATTGACATTACTGTTTTTTTATTCTAAAGAATATGTGAATTGTTTCACTCTCAATTGATGTTTTCATAGATATTATGGTACCAAATCTCAATTCTCTCTCTTTGGTAAAGATCCTGCTGCATTGCATGAAGAGATAAGAAACTGGTTATAACTGCGTTTCAGAGTAGCAGCCGTGTTAGTCTGTATCCGCAAAAAGAACAGGAGTACTTGTGGCACCTTAGAGACTAACAAATTTAAATTTGTTAGTCTCTAAGGTGCCACAAATACTCCTGTTCTTTTTGTGGTTATAACTAGTTTGGAGGTGTTGGGCAAGACAGACAGGGTCTCCAGAGTTACTATCCATTTCCAGGGAAGGGAGATTAGTTTAGCTGTGGACTACGCGTGACTTGGTTGGAGGCTGCATGCCACTGACCCTTTGCTGACTGACCCATGGTACACAGTAGAGTGATTTTGGAGAAGTCTGTCAGTGCATATGGGCATAAACTTTTCATATGGTTTGTGATTTTATTGCAATGCTAGAACTTGGGCAAATTTCAGTGAGAGGTTGGGCAAATTTGGAATGGGCTGGGGCCTGAATTTCAGGTAGAAACAAAGTGAAATTGGATGAGTTTGACCCCAAGGCAGGTGTTTTGGTTTGTTTTGTGGTTTCTGTGACACTCTGCACCCCACATTCAGCATAGTAATATGATTAAGATATAATTATGTGGCATCTTGTACAAGGTATGCCTTGTAAGGTATCATTCTAAAAGTCTTGATCTGTTGAACATTATCTTGTTGGACTGTATGCAAAGTTATAGAAGCATAGAATATCAGGGTTGGAAGGGACCTCAGGAGGTCATCTAGTCCAACCCCCTGCTCAAAGCAGAACTAATCCCCAGATAGATTTTTGCCCCAGATCCCTAAATGGCCTCCTCAAGGATTGAACTCACAACCCTGGGTGTAGCAGGCTAATGCTCAAACCACTGAGCTATCCCTCCCTCCTGAATACATAGTTTTGCTAGGTACTGTATGTGTTACTGAAAGATGTTGCGAAGTTGAAAACACCCACAGCTAGCCTTTCAGGTACAACAATGAAGAAGCTAGACAGTGCTAATGACCCATCAGCAAAGACAACTGACCTTGGAAAAGGTTTATCCTCACCAGGGAATGTTTTAGCCAGCGTATGAGTAATGGATGCTACGACTCAGCAAGGCATGCAAGGGCATGTGACCAGACCACATGACACTGAACTACATTTTGGTACCTGTATTTTTCTACAAGCTGGGCTGGGGACTTAGCTTGGAACAAAGGGTTCCCACCATATGGAAAAACTATATAAGGTGGGGACTGACATCACCTCTTGGCCTCACTCCCCCCACAAGAGAACTCCTGGAAACATCTAAGAATCAAAGACTGAACAGGGGAAAGTGCTGGTCCCAGGCTAATGGGATTTCTAGCCTGTGTATGGAAATTTGGTGAACTGCTTGTATCATCAGTAAGGGTGAGAGATTGCTAATTCAAATCTTATCTATCTAGTATATTAGGCTTAGTTTGCATTTTTGTTTATTTGATAGATAATCTGATTTGAGCTGTTTGATATCACTTATAATCACTTTTAATCTATCTTTCTGTAGTTAATAAACTTGTTTTATCTTAACCAGTGCGTCTTTAAGTGAAGTGTCTGGGAAAATCTCAGCTTGGTTAACACAGGCTGTTTTTTCATATCTTTCCCATATTGAGTGGGAAGTGAACTATATTAATGAACTTGCATTGCACTGTGCAATGCAAGCTCATTCTGGGTTTATACTCCAGCAGGGGTGCAAGCCCAGGGAGCTGGGAAATTGTTGTGCTCCGTTATGAATCGATGAGAGGCTTAAGTAAGGCACTCAGGTAACTCAGTTGGGTGTGTGGTGCCACCTGCTGTTGTGTTGGGTGATAACAGGGCCTGGAGAGCTGGCTGAATCACCAGTAGAGCAGTGTGAGAGAAACCAGCCACGCTAAATTGTTAGGGGGCACAGTGGTTCCAACGGCTCCCAGACTGCATCCCGGGGGTAACAACCTGTCACAGGTTCCCAGACCTTTATCTCCTCCTGACCAAAGAGGTTTGTTTGTATGAATCCCTGCAAATGACCAAATTTTGCACAGCACCTGCTATAGGTCTTCCTGAATGAAAATAAGGCCTTAGGAGCAGCTTATTGTGGTAACAAGTGACTAGAAGGGCTAAGAAAGGAGGAAGGGGAAACAACTTGTAGAATTAAGAGATGTGCAATAGAGCCTGTGCTTAGATGCTTGAAAATTGATGGCCAGAACCACTTCCTTTGCAGGAACTGGTTTTTAATATCATGCCACTGAGTTTATATATTCTTCTAGTTTGTGGACACCTGAAAAAGCTCATGTACTAGAAGCCACCAAAAAGGCAGCATTGTCTATGGACTAAGATAAGTAACTAGGATATAGAACTCCTGGGTTCTGTTTTCACCTGTATAACTGATTCACTGTGGAACCTTGAGACATGTCACCTAGGGACTTATTTCACAGGTGCTAGGCACTCTCAGCTCCAACAGAAGTCAACGAGAAACACAAGTGTTTAGAATCTCCGAAAATCATGCCCTTAATCTCTCTGTGCTTTATTTTACTCTTATATGGAATGGAAATAATACTTTTCTATCTCACTGGGGTGTTCAGAAACTTACAGACTTGAAGGCCAGAAGGCACCATTATAATCATCTAGTCTGATTTCTGGCACATTCCAGGCCATAGAACCTCACACCCCTATTCTTGTAGTAGTGGGGCCACAGTCATTGGCTGAGTCACTGCAGTCCTCAAATCTTGATTTAAAGACTTCAAATTACAGAAAATCCACCATTTACCCTAGTTTGAATCAGCAAGTGAGCCATGGCCCATGTTGCAGAGAAAGGCAAACTACCCCCAGGGTCTCTATCAATCTGATTTGGGGAATTCCTTCTTGACCCTAAATATGACCATTAGTATGTGGGCAAGACCAACCAGCCAGACATGTGGGAAACTAATTAACTATTTGCGAAGCACTGCAATATCCTGTACAAGTGCAGAGTATTGGCTTGGCTAATAAAAGGTATCATATTTTACAGTATGTGCATTTTCTCTCAAAGTCCATTGCAGGTACAAAATTAAAAAATAACCCACCCTCCTCCCCTCCGCCCCCCAATCCTATCCCTTGATAATTTTGCCTTACCTTTTTCCATCTCACAAGTGACTCAGATTTCTAATTCCAGAGGTATACTGTTGCACAAAAGCCTTGCTTACCACACACCTCGGACAGTCATACAATGCTGAAACACACTTTAAAGGTTTCTTCATACTGCACTTTCTGTAAGTGCATACTAAAGGCTGAGATAAAATGGCTCAAACGAGCAATATGTCATGCCAGCTTGATAGAGGAGTGAACCTGATCCTTTTTGAAATATTAGCAATGAAACAAGAGACAGAAGAGCACAATGTAACTGATTATTTAAGAGGATCTACTATCTCACATTTCATTGATAAAGGGGAATATAAAGTAGGTTGGGTACCTACAGGATCTTGGATGTTATTCTAATACAGCATATTCAGACAAAAAAGTCCCCTTATAATTTATTACACCAATCTTCAATAGTATTAAGATTTTTGGTTTTAGACTAAATACATGAAAAATCTATCAAAAAGTTAAATATTGCTTTAAAAAAAACAACTAAAACCCAACAAACAAAACACCCTACACAAAAGAAAAACTTACACACCAAAAATCCTTAGAATTTCTCTCTCTCTTTTTTTTTTCCCCCCCTGGTGCTGAGTGTTACTTGTGGAATTAAGAAGGGTGGAGGATTCCCCATAGTCACAGAGAGTTCATCTGAGGAAGCAAAGGTTTATTGGAAGCAAGCAGATTTTTTATAATACCAGGTGTTGTAGTTACACTTGTTTTTTAACTAAGTATTTAATGCCTATAAAATAATCATCACAAATTAGAAACCTCTGTCCTTTTAGGCTAATGCAGAGCAACAAATGACACACATTCATTAGAGGTACTCCGTACATTTACATCTTCCTTATAACATGGTTTCTAATGGGATGCTTTTAGATCTTGGTTCCCAACTCTGCTTAAAGCTGTAATAATTCCTGTTCAGAACACTCATTTTTGGCTGTTTTGGAGAAAATGGACTGGGGAAGTGTCCTTCCTCTACATATAATGTCCTCAATATAATGCTCTCCACATAAATCTGCTCCAATTTTATTGAACATACATTATATCACACTTATAGTACACTCACTCTTTTCCCTACCTTGCTATCCAAGGAGCAGTAGTACAGAGAGGTATTTCCCTGTTCATTATTTCGCCTCCACCACCACCACCCAGCTACTCTATTTTGTGCTTAACGCATTTAGTAGCCATAAATATAGCCTTTTTATGTTTAATACTCACCCATCAAGCTCAGAACATAGAACATTGTCCAGAAAAGCTGCTTCCTCTTCGTTGCTTTTATACTCCCCAGTAACAACATCCCTGCTGATTACTTACAAGCAAAACTGGATATTACTTTAGTACTCTTGGGTTTTTAAGTTCTGCTGCAGCTCTGTTGAGACCGTGTGCAGCTCCCCTTTAGTTCAAATCTTTGAGGCCAGTAACATATGGGGTGGAATTCCCTTGCACGGGTTATGCTTGTGGTTCCAAATTATGAGGTGGAGTTTGTCCAAAGCGTGATCTAGCTTTAAATAGTTCATAGCAATCTCACTATCACATTGTTAACTTTTTCCCCTCCCCTATATCCTTTTTTTTTTTAAACATGACACATGCTTAACTCTTTCATGGAAGCTGATTCCTTTCACTTTAAAAATGAAGAGAGATGTACAATTTGCATTACACTGAAAGTGAGCATAATATGGCTTGTGTAGTTAAAGTAAAATTCCCCTTTTACCCTGATTTAATATAACTTGAAAGCAGTATAAAAATATGAAATTACATATCCACCCACACCCACCCCTGTATGGTAATATTGCAGGAACTTTGAAGGTGTTTAGAATCTGGGATTTTTTGAGTAATTAAATTAAGAATGAACCTGGGGCCAAACCCATCACTGACTGAAATAGGAACAATGCCGTTTACTTCAATGCTGAATTCACTTAGGCCAGCGGTGAACATGGTTCACAGATGAAAGGGCTTTGAAACTTATGGTCAGTATTGGGACTGAGTAACTTCTAGATAAAAACGAGTTGTGAAGCCTTGGAGGGAGGCCTAGAAGCAACCTCCTGCAGCTTACTTCTGTTGATAACAAATGCAGCTAAGGGTGCAAATTCATGAATTCTAAAGGCCAAATATTTGGTTTTCGCTGGTACCCTGATGAGACTCAGGGACAAGTCATTTCTAGCAAGAATGATTTAACACACTCAGGGAAAAGGATGTCCTACATCAGGCAAGTAAATCCCCTCCTTACTCCTTTCAATTCAGATGGAGGGCAAGTTGCTTTTTCCTGCCCATTTTCTCTGTTTCCTGTTCTTCTCTATTTAGTTTGTTTCCTTTTCCTTTCCTTCACTGCAAAAAATAACCTTAGAACAGGAGACCTCCCATTTTTCAAAATAAGGGTTACATCTTAACAAAGAATCTCACAAACATCTTCCTTCCCAGTCATGATTGTGCCGCACCCCCCACAGCACCACTCCCCCACCTGTTTGTGCTAACTAGTTCTACTTAGGTAGAAATTTAGCATTAGGAAAGTATTTATTGTAATTTTAGCTGCCTTGATGAATTTTAGTAGGTGGAAAGATGAGTCACCACCTTTTGACCAACAAACTCTCCATGGGTCAACAACAAACACACACCAGACAAGTTTGGGAACTTTGTTCCAAGAATATACAATCCATAAACTTGACAGGCTGCTCTCATAGTCATCCTGAGGATGGTGAACTCGACTGAAGCCATAAATCTGAGTTCTGGTCCTGGCTGTGTCACTAACATTGTGGTCTTCACTAAGTCACTTAAACTCTGACTCAGTTTCCTCCCCCGTAAACTGCCAATAACCATTCGCTCCGTTTGTAAGGAACTTTGAGATCCTCAGGTAAAAAGACACTCTGTCAATGCTATATATTGTTCTGACGTCACATTGGTGAGACTCAAAAGTAAATCCATCAGAATCAATGGAGCAGACTGAGGCACTAGACCCTAGAGCGCAATTTGGAGATTTGTCAAAGGTACAAATTGTTCCTTTAATATTATACATTTTAATATAAGAAAAAAAAATTACTGTTGTCCGGCTTTTCTGTAAATACTTCACTTTTCAAAAAAATCTATTTAATCTCCCAAAATTAACAGTATGGAAGATTAAGAAATATTTGTTCTGTTCAGTGTGACAAACTGCTGAAAAAGTAAACATTGAATTGACCTTAATTTTTGTTTTTGATGCTATAAAAACACACATTTATTTTATCAAAGAAGTCAGTCTTAGCAAGATGCCTACCTAACAGGTTGTACAGCAAAATAAAGAGGGCAGAGAGAGAGAGAGAAATAAAGGCACCCTCCCCAATCTAATATTTTCTATTTGGATGCCTTTCATTCCTGTTTTGCCCTCAGACACCTTACTGCCATATCTGGGACTCCCCCACCCCGCCTCAAATGAAAATATAGTAGTGTTGCAGACTGTTATAAGCATTAAGAAAATACATCTGTTATGGAACTACCATGTGAAAGGAAATCCCTCAGTAGATTGTGTTTTAATTAGGGCTGTTAATTAATCACAGTTAACTCACGCAATTAACTCAAAAAAATTAATCGTGATTAAAAAAATTAATCGCACTGTTAAACAATAGAATAT